TCCACATGCATGTCGGCTATTTGACCAAGGTGAGCTTTGCTTTTTGTTTTGTTTATTATACTGAATATGCCATTCCTTGCTTCATAACTATGAAGCTCTCCTTTTTATCAAAAAAAAAAAAAACTAGGAAGCTCTCCTTTAGTTGATAAACATTTAATTGGGTCTGCTGAGAGAGACCATGTAGCCAACAGTTAGCATTAATATAACAAATAATCATCCACAAATAGACTATTGTCTTCATTCCCTTTAAAAGTACTACAAATTTAGAACTAGAGCACCAAAATGACAGTACTAATTATTTCAGGTGGACTTTGGTTTCCAGAACATGTTAACGTTTGACTTAGAATTCGATATTTTGGAATTTTTGTACTGACTTGTGTCATTGTGTTTAACTAGAGTGAGAGCAAATAACTATTCTTTGCTAACTCAATTAACTGTGCTGTCTCTCCATTTTCATTGGTGTCTCCTGCTGACTGATTTGTTGACTAATTCTAACTGGTGCGTCTTACTCTTGGAAATTGACATTTTTGGAACAGAAATTTTGCGTGTAACAACGCTTTTGGAGAATGCCACAGTTTTAAGTCAGAGTGGGCTTGATCACCCTAGCCCTCTGTCTTCTGGAGGGATGTTTCAGAATGCAAGAGCCGACATGAACGGATGGGCCTCACAGTTTCCATCAGAAGTATGACTACTAACCATTAACATAACTCTTTTCATCTAATTCATAGTACTGGGGTAAAAAGCTTTATTGACTTAAGTTATGCTGACGTAACATATTTGACTGCCTTTAGTCGTAGTTTATCATGACAGGTAGCCTTGGCTAACACCCGTAATCTCTGTACGGTCGTGCCTTAGATCAGCACTAATTAGATACTCCATTATCCTCACGAGCAGGATAGAAATGATGTTGTGATTGCTATAATTTTCCCATACAAACGTGATCACTCTATGCATATTTCTAGGATCGTGTAGCATCTACAGGTTGCAATTAATGCCTGATACAGTGCCCCTTTCCAATGAATGAAGTTCCAGGGAAAGAAGTTCCAATATCGATGCTGCACAGCAACTATATATATCAATTAACATGTGCTTATGCTTTAAGGTTGATGTTGCTTCTAATTGTGTTGGTTTATCGTTTTTGTAGAGATCTGTTCCATCGTCTCCAGGACCAAATTGGCTTAACTCACCTGGTAGTTCGTCCGGTCCAAATTGGCTTAACTCACCTAGTACTTCGTCCGGTCTCATTGCCAAGCGAACAATCAGGGTCGATATTCCAGTCGACAGTTACCCAAATGTATGGAACTCTCATTTCTACACTGAGATTATATGTACATATACTATCTGGTCGCGGGATAAAACTCTATAATCATATAAAAAATGTAACTCTAAATTTTTTCGATATGACAGTACAACTTTGTTGGTCGCCTCCTGGGTCCAAGAGGAAACTCCCTGAAGCGAGTTGAAGCAAGCACTGATTGCCGTGTCCTCATAAGAGGAAGAGGCAGCATAAAAGATCCAATCAAGGTACTCGATATTTAACTGTACAACTTCATTTGTATTTGAAATTCCAAAGTTCGTTTCAGCGCATTTAATATTTTTGTTTGTTGTAGGAGGAAATGATGAGAGGAAAACCGGGATACGAGCACCTAAATGAACAACTTCATATCTTAGTCGAAGCAGAATTACCGATTGAAATAGTTGATGCGCGTCTCATGCAAGCTCGTGAAATACTTGACGATCTTCTTACTCCTATGGTTCGTTTTATCTCTTTCCCTTTCTCATCTGAAACATTATGTTTAAACCGACGATCTACTAACTCGGTTTCTGTTATAGGAGGAAACCCATGATTTTTACAAGAAACAACAGCTGCGCGAGCTCGCATTACTCAATGGAAATCTTCGTCAAGAAGGATCTCCAATGTCCGGGTCAGTTTCTCCTTACAATAGCCTCGGTATGAAGAGAGCCAAAACAAGAGAAGGGTAAAAATCAAATCCCTCAAATCAAAATGTTTATTGAGATCTCTCACATCTCATGGAATATGAACCGGTCTACAAAAAGTCCACACCACTCTTGAGTCTTGTCCCTGGAATAGGATTGGTGTATATATGATTATGAATCTGTTTGTCTATTTATCATTTTCCCGGAGAGAGATCAGATGACAGAATTTCAACGAAATTCAAAAGATGATGGATGAGTCTCTATATATCTCTCCGAGACTTTGGGC